CATAACAGCAACCCAAGAAACCTAAGTAGCTGCTGTTGAATCAGACAGTGTCATTAGATAATGGGAAAAAATATTCACTAATATCAAAAAGTACTTCATATGGTTAGGGGTGTAGTTCTATGGCAGACCATTTAATTTTAGCAACTGTAAGGCTGAGTGTGATCCCCAACACCAAAATAGATAGATAGATAGATAGATCTGGTATTGTATCTGAAAAACAAAAACTGTTTCTATTTTTCCCAAACCCACAGAAGTACCTACTGTATAAAATGACCACATCCAAAGCTGGGCTACCACTGAACACTCTTTCAGCAGCAGGGGCCTGACCTGATGGAAAGTCTTTCTAGAGACCCAGTATCATGGCAAAGTGCCACATACTGAAAATAACAGTGGTAAGGCTGCCTTTCTGTGTCCTCCCTCACCTTTACTTATTTATACTAAGATATAATCCCTTAGAATTAAACCTGCTTCCTTAAGGTTTAGGGATGACATTAGTGTTCTTAGTCTTAGGAGAAAAGAACAATTAAAAAAAAAAAAGGCAAAACAAACAAAATGACTTTTTTTACTCTATCAGCATTCTGACAATAATGAGAGTTAAAGACTACAAATGACAGGGAAAACGATACCACTGTATAATGAACTTCAGGTATAAGGAAGTAAATGAAAGGCTTCAAGTGGAAGAAGTCCAGGCCGTACATGCCTGGGTTGTAAGAGTTCAGGAGGCTGGCTCTACTTGTTTTTCTGCTTCCTTTTGTGGAAGTTCAAACCAGCTGACTCATACTTACAGTCAGTTTCAAGTCAGACCCTTAGAGAAGTGATAGTAAGTAAGTGGCCTTTAGTCTAACCATACAGCACACCAACCAAAAAAAAAAATATGACAAAGAAAGTTGTCCCATTAATACTCAGCTCAATACAGAGACTAAAGAAGGCTTATGTTTAAAAATCTAGAAAAAGAACTATTCAATTGTTTACCAACCACTATTATACCCTTGTTTCTAAATAAATCTGAATTAGATGATGAAAAAGGCTCAAAATATAAATAGAAATTTAACAATATTTCATGGGTTTTTTTCCTCAGGTTAATATGCTCTTTCTGGTATTGGACCAAATAAACATGTCTGAGAGGTTTGTTTCTGCAAAGAAAAACTGAGTATTTATTATTAATTGTTTTTTAAAATTGACATTTACCAAACATTTAACAAGATACCCCCCCTCCTTTTTTTGTACTGGGGATTGAACTCAGGGGCACTTGACCATGATCCACAAACCCAGACCTTTTTATTTTTATTTTGAGAGTTGCTGAGGTTGGTCTTGAATTTGCAATCCTCCCATGTCAGCCTCCCAAGTGGCTGGGCTTACAAGTTGGCACCACCACTTCTGGCTCTAAGATACTTTTACAAGGTGTATTTGGAAATCTGAGAGAGAATCTGACTTACCAATGGTGGGGTCATGATCTTCTGGGAATCTGTGGCTGATGAACTGCATGGTCATGGCTTCAAAACAAGAAATGAAAGTTAAAATCCTCACCAAGGTGACCCACAGAAAGGATTGAAAGTATCAACATTGCACAACAAATAGCCAGTAACCCCACTGGCTTGGGTAGAGGTCATTTATTTGAAGTTCCTTTTCATCCTTACTTATAAAATGGAAAATGTCACCTACCACTCTTCCCCACACCACCAGCACCCAGCATCACTAATTTGTACTCCCGTGAGAGCCCTGCAGGGTTGCTACAGCAGCTACCAACAGGGCGAGTTCCAGAATCCATTGTCCTTTTGGGAAATCCTGGGCGGCCCCACGGAAAAGCCACCTAGAAGGAAAGCAAAAGATATCTAATGCAGGGTGGACACGCCGTGCCGGCGGTCCCGAAGCGCCCTACTTTCCCAGACATATTATGGCCTATTGCTCCTAACACCTCAGAAACCTTTCTGGGGCCCCAAGAAGCCCCACATCCTCACCCTCTCAGAGATGCTACCGTCCTATGACACATCACAGGTTTCCCCACTTACTTCTCCCACAAAGAAAAAGAGACAAAGAAATTTACAATCTTTTCAGAACGGGGCACCAAGACAAGAAAGGGAGCCAAGTGGGAAGCCTGGGGTCTGGGGACCAAACGCAGGCTGCTGCTGGGCTGCAGGGGCTCGTCCCACCGCGGCGCGAGGTTCCGCCCCCTCCCCGATCCGGCCCCACCGTCCCCCAGGCCCTGGCGCCCCCGTCACCTCAGGCCGCTGGGCCCCGCAGGCAGGGAGGCCCCGGTCTGGCTGGGCACCCACCCGGTGCTCCTTCGCTGGCGGGAGGATCGGGCTCTGACCTGTGACCCCTCCCGCAGCCGGGTAAGATGGCGCCACCGGCACTGCGTCCCCACGGGAGGGGCAGGGCCGCCCCGTGACGCCTGCGGGTGCCCCGCCCTCGCGGGGCGGGACATCGCCCCTTCCAGGACCCRAACCTAGTTCCGCAACGGGCCACAAAGGCCCACTGGTCACGTACCAGTTTCAAGGTCTGCACGTAGAGACTGGGTTTTAAGGCAACAGCATAAAGTGAACTGACCAGTCAGGAGGAGGCAGCGCGTGATACGCAGGGGATCTTTCAAAGGTGGCGTTCGCTGGTGGTTGTCGTGGGGCAGACAGAACTTACACCAGTTTAAGGCCAAAACAGCAAATGAGGAAAGGGACCACCTCACCCCTCAATATTCTCCCAAAACAGAGGACTGAGATGGAATTTAGGGACGACTCTCCTCCATTGCAGAAAAAGCTTTCATTTCACAAGCACAATTTAGATCCTTGAAATTAGGAGTCAAAGGGCAGATGTTCACAACCATCTAGTAATCCTAATCAGAGGTCTTTATGTATTTTAAATATATCTATAAAACATTAAAAAACGTGCTTCAGGGCAACTGCATGCATTGGCCCCTGGCTTCCATTCTCAGTACTGCCCTTCAAAATTGATTTTTTGAAATTACTTCTCTCTGGCAGGAAAGGATATAACTCAAGAGCTTATCATTGCACATGCATCTCCAGGCAGCACACACATGTACAGAAAATTTTATATTGGAAAATTCCTGATGCCCACCACTCTTATAAGATTGTCTTCCCAAGAAAATATTAAATCTGCCTTAAAATATTTCATTCACTTAAACCTTTAAAGTCACTGTAAAATAAAGGTCCAAAATATAAAAAAGGAATACATTCAGCTCAATATCCCTCAAAATTTTCATCTGGACTTTAAGTTCCTGGAGTTGGGCTGGGGCTGTAGAGCTGTGATGGAACACTTGCCTCACATGTAGGAGGCACTGGGTTCATTCCTCAGCACCACATAAAAATAAATRAAATAAAGGTATTATGTCCATAAAAAATAAATAACTTTTAAAATTAATTCCTGGAGTTATGTGCAAACCTTGGAGTCTGTGTATGTATTTTTTTTGTGAGGTTCTTAACTGCAATATGCTGAGTAAAAATGTTAATTTTAATGTAAGGATGGATTGTAGAAGATTAAAAAAAAAAAGAAACCACAAGCAGAATATTTATACATTTATTTATAATGAAATTATGGTCTAATTATTTACAACATATAGGAAACCAGAGGATAAGTTTATACAAAGCCAGCCTGCAAAGTATTCAAATGTGCAAAAATGACAGTTCAGTATCTCAAACTACTCCTGGTTCAGCAGACTAGCTCCTTCACTTTCACACATCAATATTTGATACAAAAAAGTTCTTTTGGCAAAACCTGTAATGCCAAGAAAAAAGGACAAGTTGCAATCTCAGTCACCAAGTCCACCATCCTATTTGGTGTAGTCAAATCTCTCTATTTTAGTTGCAAGCAGTTCTGAGAGAGACAGACCACTGTGTTTCATTTCTGTGATGAGTTCTCACCAGATTTTAGTCAAGTAGTTTTCTCTGACCCAGCTGAAGACAAGGAGCTTAGAAGGGCAATAAAAACTGCAATGGCTATGTAAGACAAATGTGCCTGAAGGTACCCGCTTTGGATCATCCCAATAAAAACTCACAATGAAAAAATAACTTCATTTTCCTAGTCAGGATCCAGCTGCATTTGACAATTTTAAATCAGTAAAATAGCATTTTCAAAAACAGAAAGAATCCAAACTGAAGCAGGGATGAGGATTTCTTAGAATTAGGTACTGAAAAGAAAAGGATGATCTTAAAATCATTTCCCCACTAATAAATAGTAAGGCTTTGTTTGTAACCAGTTATCAAAACTGACCCAACAGTAGTAAAATACAAAGAAAACTTCATTTGAGAGTAGAGGCTATTCATTTGGAAAAGGCTGGATCAGGCCAAACACCTACAAGAATGACCCTGTTGGGATGCTTCATTAGACAAGCACATTTCACCAACTGTTAAAAAGCTTCTGAGACAAATTTGTGATTCTAAGTAAACAGATGTTAATGCCACTGCAGAAATGAGAATTTCTTAAAAAAAAAAAAAAAAAAAGGAACCCCTTTAAGTAAGGGGGCACTCCACCTCTAAATTCTGCAAAGGTCCAAGATGGCTCCCAGTACAGGCCCCAGAGTCTTGTTAAATCAAATGCATGCATTATTGCTAAGAAGAGTC